GTGATGTGCGTTGTTGTTGGGTTTTTTTTTGGGGGGGGGTGAAAGTGTTCGAAAATGCAACATTACTTTCTTGACGACATAATACATCACACAACACCAAAACAGAACAACAATGTCATGAAGTAGGTAAAGTTTTAGCTTTAAAGAAACAGTGCATCAAGACGCTTGAGAAAACCTGTACTTAGCTACTAACGAGCGACCAAACTAGATACTCTGCGAGGATAATATACTAAATGAAACTGATTATTCGTGGTTAAGACGACATGGCTCACATACAGGTATAATGTAAGGGTTATCGAAAGGTCGTAATAAGGTATGTCCACTTAGACCCAATGTACCCTACAGAGATACGTATTGTCATGAGCTAAGTTTCTTGGTTGGTTAAATCAGATCATTAGCTATGAATAAATACACTATTCAAAGCAGTTTTAATTTTATGGATGACTTGACTTAAAACTTCTAGAACTTAACAACCCAGAATGTTATAATACATTATACGTTATATTTCTGACACTACTGCCAACAAGTCCGCATCATATCATGTCAATACTTTACAGTTGAATCGATACAATCATACGTAAAACAATCTCTGGGTTTCTGTCAAATCCGACTGCACGCTGGCTCAACGGTATGCCTGAAGGCTTATAAAGCTAAAAACTGGATTTCAATACCCATGGTGGGCACAGCACAGGTAGCCCATTGTGTAGCTCTGTGCTTAACAGCTAACAAAGAAGCAAACTGTCATATCCAAATCCGTCTATTCGAACCACATAATGAGAATCTGGATTTATCGCTTCACATGATGGATTTTAAATTGTTTTTTCCTCCATGAGAGCCGATACCCTTGCACTCACTTTCAAAGTACAGCCTGTCTGTGAAATCCAGCAGCATTGATGAATGTGCTAATATATAGTCCTGAGATCCCATTCAAATGCCAGGTTATTGATTTAATGCTAAGGCCACAGTTTAATTTCTCAACACGTTTTCAGATTCATATGCACTAAAATTGATTAGTTCTTGGAGGTCAATATTAGCATTTCTTGTTCATTTTTAACTCATAAATATCATTAAATTTGGGTATGGGTATACGAACCAGAATACCTCACGTGTCCGTATCATCAGTTCTAAAACCAGTAATCATTACTAGTTGAAGGTTTGTAATTTTCTTTCATTGTGACATCCTTTACTCCAACTGGTTGACTATGGAAACTGCTGGTCTTCAAAAACCTTGCACAGCAACAAATATGAGATTCCCGTTACTAGCTGGTGGTGTGTTGGTCTCCAATATATATACGTATATGGAAACACCATGCTCACGCTAAATAGTCTAACTTGTGTAACAATAATGATGATGCCATGAGAAAATGTTTTTTAGTTGTTTACATAGCCCTATTTTATTATTCCCAACAGTGCCAACGCCCAAATGGAGAATAACGTAACGCCAGTTTATCTGGCGTCTCAAGAAGGACACCTGGATGTTTTGAAATATTTGGTGATATCTGCAGGTGGCTCCCTTTCTTTGCGGGCAATTGATGGCATGGCTCCAATCCACGCTTCTGCCCAGATGGGAGCAATAAAGTGCCTGAAATGGATGGTATGTGAGACAGATGCTAACTGTTTATAAATACATCTGTTACACATTTCTCTGTTCTAGATAAATACTGTTGAATATTTCAGCTTAATTATTATTATTACTTCTTTCATTTGTCGTTTTAATAACATTTATTGACTAAATTCCGTGCATTAAAATTAACTCTACTCACCATTAGAGAAAAGAACTCGTAGATAATGATTTTCTTTAAATATTATTGAATTTATTTCATCAAATTGGAATTAATTTTATATAATAATCACATACCTTTATAATAGCATACGAAATGACCAGGTTAATAAAGACTACTAAGCAAAATTGTAATCCATAATTTTAACATTCGCTATCAGTATACATTTAAAATACGTTGTTACTTGTATAACATGCATAACCTCGTCAGGAAGATCAATTTGAGGATTAAGTACAATATGTCAGTGGCAAGCTTATAACTATAAATATCGGGTTTCGATATTCGTGATGAGCACAGCACACTTAGACCATTGTGTAGCTTTGTGCTTTATCAACAAACAAAGTGTATTGAATATAAGCGTAATTTGAGTGTAGATATTTCAGCAATAGAATATAATACTTGATCTATTATATTATTGTTTAAAAAATTAACTAAAACTTATCATATTTAAAAAACACACAAAAACTGGTTTAAAATGTCAATTGATTCGTTACTAATGTTACGGTAAGTATATACTGTGAAAGTATAAAAATTTGATGGGAAATTAATGGAATGTTACTAGTAAGTAAATAAAGTCTAGAATTCTAGAAAAATATTTTGGGCGTTAGAAATATGTATGTCCACAGAACCATTACTTTGTTTTTGCGTTCTCTTCATTATGAATTTGAAAACTTAGAATTTTTCATTTCTAAATCTATAAGATAATGTAGTGCTTATATGAAGGTTTGATTTCTCTTTAGAATATTTGTGAATGCTAATGTGAGTCACTGCAGGTGCGAGCTGTAGGACTACAGGGGACACATTTAGGAACAGTATATTTGTTCACAGTGAACTCCTCAACCATTCAACAATGCAATGAATCTAAGTAAGACTTGCGTTTGAGGATTATTTCACAGCCTTTCCGAGGAAGAACACTTATAGCGAGAGTGTTCAACAATACAGAATCAAAACAAAGAACATTTTGAAGAAATATCTATCAGGGTTATCCAAGGAAGCGGAGAAACTCTTAAAACAGGTCGTTTATGGAAGAAACAGGTCAATTGAAGCAACAACCTCATCAATAAAGACTAGTTACGAAAATGAATCTTCCAACCCAAATATCCAATACAATGAAGTTGGGTATATCTCCTAGCGTGTTAACAAGGTAATAAACTAAAGGTAATAAAAAAGATTTCGAAATTTATGAAGTTTCCAAAGCCTTGGGTCACATTTTGAAATCAACAATTATTTCTATGAAGAAAATAGTTAAAAAAACTAGAATGACAATCAGTCAATTCAGATACTTATCTACCAAATCTCGTGACGCAGCTTCAAAGAACTTCTGCATTTTTGTTTTGGAAAATGACTTCTACTTACACTGTAGGGTCTGTAGAAGGATTGTCAACATTTAGGTACAAAGATTGACCTCACCATCCTTAGTAGTAAGTTTTTACATTGAATTTTGGTTTGGTTTGTTTCGAATTTCGGGCAAAGGTACACAAGGGCTATCTGAGCTAGCCGTCCCTAATTTAGCAATGAAAGACTAGAGGGAAGGCAGCTAGTCATCACCACCCACTGCCAACTGTTTGGCTACTCTTTTACCAACGAATAGTGGGATTTACCGTCACATTATAACGACCCAACGGCTGA